CCAGCCCCGGGCAGGGAGCGAGGCCGGCGGTGTGAGGGGTGGGCTGGCCAAGGGCTCCCTGCGCAGCCCCGAGCCTTTGTCCTCCAGCCGGGCCCCGGGGGCTGGGCAGGGGTCCGGGGCCCCGCCGAGACGCTGCTCCCCAGCCCCACTCACTGCGCCCGAGCTCACGGCACTTCGGGGGACGGGGCAAAGTTGGGGGGTTTTCCGCTTGTTTTTGAGGGGTTTTTTTGGGGTGTTTTGGTTTAGTTTTTGTTTGTTTAATTTTTTTTCTAATTTGTCTCCCACCTCTCGTGTCCCCCCTCCCCCATCTAAATAGGAGATGTTCTCAGGACAGCGCCCGGGAGACTGACTGGAATCAGTTTTGGAGGGTGATACACCGCGACAGCTAAAAGTTGGATAGGGTTTCAGCAGCTCCTATATAAAGCAGGGGGGACTTATGTCACTGCACTAATTAAATTCCATCTGGGTTGTTCCTCGGGGTGTTTTTGAGATTGCCACCCAACTCAAGCAGGCAGAGAGGCCCAGGGACAGCATGATGGACCTTTTTGAAACTGGCTCCTATTTCTTCTATTTGGACGGGGAGAATGGAGCCCTGCAGCAGCTGGAGATGGCTGAGGGATCCCCGCTGTACCCAGGCAGCGACGGCACCTTGTCTCCATGTCAGGACCAAATGCAGCCAGAGGCCAGCAGTGACAGCAGCGGAGAGGAGCATGTGCTGGCACCCCCGGGACTACAACCCCCTCACTTCCCCGGCCAGTGTTTGATCTGGGCTTGTAAAACTTGCAAGAGAAAGTCGGCCCCCACGGACAGACGGAAAGCAGCCACCCTGCGGGAGAGGAGAAGGCTGAAGAAGATCAACGAAGCCTTCGAGGCTCTGAAAAGGCGGACTGTGGCGAACCCCAACCAGCGGCTGCCCAAGGTGGAGATACTGAGGAGCGCCATCAGCTACATCGAGAGGCTGCAGGACCTCTTGCACAGGCTGGATCAGCAGGAGAAAATGCAGGAGATCGGGGGGGACCCCTTCAGCTTCAGCCCGAAGCAGGGAAATGTAAGCACCGCCGCTTGGCCCCTCCGCCGCCACGGCAGCGCCGCCGCTCCCGTCCCCTCCTCCTCCTCCTCCTCCTCCTCCTCCTCCTCCTGCTCTTCGGCAGGGCCGCTGCGGGGGCCGGGAGGGCTGGGGGGCGCGGAGGGCGCTCCTCGGGGAGCCTGCCAGCCCTCGGGCCTCCCGAGGTCCGGGAGCCGCGGCAGCCCCGCTAACACCCGTCCTCTCCCCGTGTCTCCCCGCTCCCGCCTGTGTGCCGCAGATCCCCAGTTCGGATTTCCTGAGCACCTGCAGCTCCGACTGGCAAAGCGTTTCAGACCATTCCCGAGCCCTAGGAGTGAGCCCCAAAGAAGGTAACTCGCCCCGCGGGCCCTGCTCGCCCGCCGCGCCTTCCCAGCCCCATTCCCAGCCCCTTCCCTCGGCCGCGGTCCCAGCGGCCCGGCTCTCACGCTCGCTCCTTTGCCGGGCTCTCCGGCAGCCGGGAGCCCCCGGCGAGGAGGAGCGGTCTGCTCTTTAATGCCTTTTCTCTCGTTGAGCAGGAGTCTCCGCTGTCGAGTCGTCGGCCTCCAGCAGCCTCCGCTGCCTCTCCTCAATAGTGGACAGTATTTCTTCCGACGATCCCAAACTGCCCAGCGCGGACGAAGCGGTGGAGAAATAAACCCGGGTTTGTGGTAGTATATTTAACGGAGATGAAGCCTCCACCCTCTCTCCTCTAAACTAAGTAACGAAACCAATTCACACAGTGGAAAGCCCAAGCAGGGCCCTTTTTAAGATCGAATCAAGGTACATCTACCCCAAAGAAAATGGCTCCCACTCACTCGAGCCAGACAGACTTCTCCCTTGCCATTTTTTTCTCCCGAGTTTTGTTTTCTTTAAATTGTGTTGCATAAACCACCCTTCCTTTTTTTTTTTTTTTAAATTCTTTTTTGTAAATTTTAAGATACTTACCTGTGTACCGGTGATCCACTTTGTCTGAGACTCACCGGGAAGTTCATTCCTGTCTGAGTGAAGCTCTTGGTTGCATTGCGTGTGAGTCATATTTAACGAGTCCCCGCCTCATTTCGTTCCTGTAAATAATTTCAGTACTGTCTTTTCTTTTGTAAACATAACATATATATTTAAATGATGGAATGTGATATTGTATATAAGAACAGATGGATTTCTTGGATTGTAAAATAAAGCTCTTTGTGTTACAGTGTTTCCCTCCCGTCCTCTTAGTTTCATAAAATAACCCGATCCCGGAGTTCAAACCGGAGTTCAAGCCACTGACTTCAGTGAGTGAAGGCCTGAAGAGTCAGACCCATGTGGCAGAAGCACGACCCGTGTGACTGGAGGCAGGACACGGGACAGATTTTTCTTTCGTTTCCTCCTCCAAGGCGTCCCCTTTAGGGCCGCAGCCGCGGTGTGAGTCACCCGTGTCTCCGTGGGCTCTCGGGTGGGTGTGCGGACGGGACCGCCGCCTCTCCGGCCGCCCGCAGCGCTCCGCGGCCCCGCTCCTCGCCCTGCTTGCGGAACGCACGTCCCCTGGAAAGCGATATTGCTCCCCTAAAATGCCCAACAGTGCCGCCCGAGTACCTTGCCAGGCAAAGATGCTTCGCTGGCCTTGCCCTGCACGTGAAAGGTGAGGTTAGAAAAGGAGCACGAAAGAGGATAACCCCGCCCGTCGTTCTCCCCACTCACTCTCCCGACCTCCTGCCCCGGTCTCTGAGATGGGAGAGGCTCTGTGCGTCTCACCTTCTCCTCCCGGCACCGAGGACTTGAACGCAGGGCTTGTCTGCGGCAAAACTGACGGGCCTGCTGCACTAATGGGGCAGCAAGCGGCTGTGAAAGGAGCCCGCTCCCTCTGGGGCTTGAGGGAGCTGTAGTTTCTTCCCAAGAAAGGTAACTCCCCTTGACTTCCTTGAGCCTGATGGAGAGGGGAATGGGGTCCTTCAGGGAGGAAAGAGTTAAGCGACCGAAAGGGTTTGGAGGTGGGGGGGTAACAGCATATGAATCTTTTCACTCAGTGATGTAAAAAAACGCAGCCTCTCTGAGGATGGTGAAACGGAGCTGCTCACAGTCAGAGCGTTACGGTGTGTAATAGATTGTACCCCCAGGAAGGGGCGACCACCAGGGATCAGCGCATTCTGCCCTGGCACACACAGGGGGCTCGCCGGACAGCCTGCACAAGTAAACAGAGGACACTTCAACTCTACCCGCGTGCGGTCTCCTCGCCAACTTTAGCCCTTGATTTGTTCTTTGTTTCTGTTTTTTGAAAGGTCACAGTCGCGTTTCGGGAAGGTCTCCCCTTCCTGGCGATCTGGGGCACGGGTACACCCGTCTGAAGTGGAAGCTCTGGGCAGAGCCTGCCCAGAGAGCTGGTTCTCCAATCGGCCGTGCCTTCCTACCACCCACCCTCTCTGCGCCGCTGTGGCCAGCCGGGGTTTTAAACCAGTCATGTACTACCTCTAAGTGCTCTCTAACGAGATGCTCCCTTGCAAGGACACTGTGGTGGGCACAGTGATGCAACAGTTTCCCCATCTTATTTCCTCCTTTCAAATTAAACCCCGTTGCCTCGGGGAGCCCTCGGACGCTTCAGAAAGCGGCGCGTCGGGGAGCGCGGGGCCCTGCGTGCCCCCTCTGCGACCTGGCACGGCACAGGACACGGTGCAGCTCGCCTCTGTGGCGAAGGCACCTGCCCAGTAAGAGAGTATTTCAGAGCGGACTGGCAGCTCGTCGACTTCCTTCCTCATTTGTTTCAAACCCCGCTGAGTCCTCGGGAAGGGCTACACTCAGTTCACACGGCGGGACCCGCTGCCCGCATCAAGGCAGCAGCCGTGCTGAGCCGCCCCCCAAAGCCACAGTGTCGCGCCCGCGCCGGGGCAGCCGACTGTCAGGTTTGCCCGCAGCCGGGCAATCACCCCAACAAGCCGCCCGTCCGCCCGGCAGGACCCCCACGGCAGCGTCTCCTCCAGCAGCAGGGTAACTTGAGCGGTTGTTTGGAGTAAGTTTGCCTAAAGGAGAGTTTTTTCATTAAATAAAGAAAATACCTCCCGAAGAGACTCTCCGTGACCCCCGCGGCTGCAGCTGACATGCCGGGCTTCCCAGTGAAGGTCGTCAGTGTGTTTGCAATTAAAATGTTTGTGTTAGATATTAATAACGATAATCTTTACTTAAGTCCCCAGCCAAAGCAAACAGGGCCCTGTAATCACAAAATCAAAGGGCAATAACTGGGTAAAGACAAGAGGTTTGTGATTTAATGAAGTCTTTTTCCGGAGGGACCACGCACAAAGTCATCGAAGTTTTTACCCAAATGCAAGTGCCCCTGCCGCTCCCTCCTCCCCTCTGCGGGCTGGAAATCCCATGCTCGACACAGCCTCCCTCGCCTCTACCTGCTCCGCTCCCCTGGGAACCAACCACCTGCCCGCTCCCTCAGGAGCGGAGGGATGCGGGGCTCCGCCGGCCCGCGGTGCCCGGCGCGGCGTGGCACAGCTCCGCCGCCCGCCCGAGGTGTCTGCGGGGCCGGGAAGGATGGCAGCAAGGCGGGGGAAGGGGGGAGTGGGTGCCTGTCTGCAGTGCTGCCGCGCTGACACCGCTTTCCCCTGAAGTGACGCGACCGAGGGTCTAAAGTCTTGGGTTTAGTTTTTGGGTTTGTATTTTTGTTGGGTTTTTTTCCCCTTTTGTTTCGTTGGGGTTTTTTGGTTGGTTGGTTTTGTGCATCTTTATTTTCCTCAGTGAAACCGCCCGCAATCCAGGGAGGGAAGAGGACAGCCAGCAGCAGGCTTAGTTCATTCTCTGAGCTCGGAGTCAAGGCGTAAAGAGGCGACACAGCAACTATTTCCACGGGAGAATTCCTGCGTGGACCACTGCTGCTTTGTGGACCCCGCACGACTTTTCCACTGTTTCCGTCTTTCTGTGGGGAATGAGCTAGGGATGGGTGCAGGGGGCAGGGAGGGAGGAGGCTGAATAATTGAACCATGTGCTCGCTGGGACGCCCGTCAGATAGCAGGAACTAGCAACTTTTCCCAGTCTCAAGGCTGCTAAAACCCCCTCGTGTCCCTTTGATCTCTCCTGGGAGTCCCGGGGAGCCATCAGAGGCCAATGCCTTCTTCAGCTGTCCTCTATACAATTCCCTCTGGCAGGTACTAATGTGTTTACTTAGGTGCGCACGGTTCCCAGCGCTGGGGGGAACCAAACGTTTCTCACTCGGCTGGAAGCGCCCGGCCCCGCCAGCCCGACTGGGAAACAATTTTGTTGCCGGGGCATCGCGGAGGAGCAGCGGCTGCGGCTGCCAGCGCCCGCGGACGGCGGAGCCGGGCGGAGCTGCTCGGCACCGTGAAGGCAGGCGCTCCCGCCGCCCTGCACGGGGAGCCGGCCGGGAGCAGCGCAAAGGCGCTCCGGAGGGCCGGGGCTGCGGGTGCGCTCGGGGGCACCGCAAACACCTCTCACCCCCTCAGTCCGGTGACTTATGGTTTCGGTAGGATTTTCTTCTCTTAAATAGAAAGGCGTGGGACTTGGGAAAAGATGGCACGCTCTGCAGAAGGTGCCCACGTTGGATGGAATCCCTCCAGGAATAGGCGCGGCACGGCGATTTCTGAGGAGTGGGGAGGGCTGGGGTGAGGAACACCATTTAAAGGGATCCTGACACGTTCACCACTTTCTTTCTACCAGTGCACAGGAGCAGACAGTGTCTGATGCTAAGGCTGTTCCCGCTTTCCAGACTTGAGCCTCCTGAAATGCAGCACCATCCTCCCCCTCCCCCCACCCCGCCCTTCGCCAGCAGCCTCATTAGCCAGCGCTGTAGTTCGTGTTTTCTCCCCCCTTTCTTTAGTTCCACTCGCCTACTGCATTTTTGCAAATTTGTTTTGAGATCACTTTACCAGAGGAGCCGGGGGCTCTTTAAGGGATACTAATTACTGATTTTTTTTAAATTCCTGAATGACAGGCCCTTCCATGGTTTCTTCTATTTCCCCAAAAATATTAAAGGAAAAAGGAATGATTTTTTTCCAGCTCTTCAAATACTTTTGGGGAAAAGCACGTTTCTTAACAGCCCCAGCTCCTCTGAGTTAAGAGTCAAATCTGCGAGCTAAAGCTGTGCATGCCAGGAGAGCGGGATTGAGGGGCTTGGCGTTGTGCACCGGGAGATCTACAGTGCATGCTTGGAGAGAACCCAAGCATGCACCAATCCAGAAAGGTGATCGGAACTGCAACCGGGACTTTAAAGATCAAGTTTATTTGTGCATGATGCATAAATATGTAAACAGGTCTATTTTAGCCAGCGCAAACGCAGTAAATGAAATTGGGTGCGTGTGTTTGTGTATGCCTGTGTGTGCACACCACAGCCCAGTGACGAGTTCAAGTTACTGCTGAGCAGAACCCCTCCTGACTGATGCTGTCTTAGGAAAACAGTAGGGAACTGTCCTGTTTCAGATGTGGCCCAACAAAACAGCAACCTGCACCTCAGAGCGTCAGAAGCCTGAAATCCTGAGCTTTCCCATTCTGTAACTTTACTCCTTTATCAACTCCCTGCTTTTCATAGAGTATTCATTTCAAAGGGGCTCCCCGTGTTTATGGCCCCAAATAAACCAAAGCAATGCAGATGTAGCCTTCCCCAGCTTTTAGATATTTTTGCAGCGTTTTATAAGAAGAAGGGTGTGTGCATGGTTGCTTTTCAGGAAAAAATTTAGCCTAAGAGTGGAAATCCGCCTTTGGGGGCTCTGGGGTGGTGGTAACGGGGAAACAAGGATGGGTTCGCTCCAGCCCCAGCACAGACCGAGCTGCTTGCTTGCCTTTCTCCGCCTTGCCCGTGCGGATCGGAGGGCTTCCCGGCGGTGTGCGCTGCCACAGGGCATCTCTCTCGGGAGACACTTCCCTACCGGCCTTGCTCACTTGATCAGCGTCTCCCGGAGACAAGCGGCTCGCCGTGCCACCACATCAGCCCTTCCTGAAGAGAGGCTGACTGAAGGCCCCTTTTCCTGGGCACAAAAACCTCCTCCGTAGCGTTTGAACCGCTGCTGGGTCATTTGCTCTGCGTTTGAGCTAGCCTAGGTCACATAATTTTATTCCCAGGTAGGGAAGGTTTCCTTTGCCTTCTCATAATATTTTCCTCAGTTACAAAAGCCACCTGGATGAAACCAAAGGATTCCTGCGCGTTAGCAAATGCCTGTTAAATGGCTTCATTACCACTCTAATGACCCTTGCACCGCTCCGCTCGGCTACTGCTGCGGCTGGGGCTCTGCAAGGCTTTTGTCCCCTTGTGTAAAGTTACTTAGGGATTGCGGGGTTAGAAATTTTACACTTCCAGGAGGGGTTTGTTGCGCTGGCAGCTGGGACGCATCTGTAACGGTACAAGTTTGCCTGAAAGCAGAAAATTAGCAAGCCAAGGCACTGCTTGACTGTTGTGTCCCTAGCAGCTCCAGGTCACAAGAAAAGGAGAAAGAGAAAGAATGGGAATGGGATTTGTCTCGGAGCAAACACACTTTTCTTTTGCGAGTACTTTTCCTTGTGATCCGATCCAGTAGCACTAAAATCTGTTTTCCCTCCTCCTCGTCTCTCCTGGCCACAAGTAGCTGTGCATTGCTGTCCCCCAATTTGTAAATTTGAGCGGTTGGTGGCACAACTTTAATTACTGGACAAAGAGCTCCTCGAGATAAATGAACACATCTTAGGTCTAAGAAGAAGGTTATAATTTTTCAGGTTAGACCTGGATCATGGGATGTGGGAAATAAAGATGTGCAAGTAGACACTATAGGTGTCCTTCCCGAGGAAACGTGTGATGGGAAACAGGAGATGTGAACACCGAGACGAGGAAGGGCTCAGGAGCCGCTGACAAGTGGTTCGTGCGCGTTCACTGCCCCTCTTTCTCTTTCCATACCAAACTGCAAATTCACCGACTTGGTTGGAAATTCGGAGATGTCGCAATCAGTGCTTGGGAGGTCGTTCATTAGAAAAGTGCCCATCTCTCGGCGCTCCAAAAGAGCGGTGCGGAGCAAATTGTCTCTGGGGACTGGAAGGGGCTTGCCCAGACGGCTCCCGGCAGGGGCTGTGGTGGGATATGCTAATAAAGACTGGCCTCTGCGGACCAGCCTCCCTTTCCATGTATATATAAGGGCCCCCCGCATCAGCCGAAGGACACTTGGTCTCGGTCCCTAATTACGGAGGAAATTGCCCCGGCGCACTGCGGAGCGCCTCGCCGAGAGCCGCGGGCCGCCGTGCCGTACCGACGCCTCCGCAGCAGGGATGGAGGTGATGGACAGCTGCAAGTTCTCCCCGTCCGAGCTCTTCTATGACAGCTCCTGCCTCTCCTCCCCGGAGGGCGACTTCCCCGAGGATTTCGAGCCCAGGGATCTGCCTCCTTTCAGCGCCCACGAGCCCCCCGAGCCCGCCTGCTCCGAGGAAGAGGAGCATGTCCGAGCTCCCACTGGCCACCACCAAGCCGGTCACTGCCTCATGTGGGCTTGCAAAGCCTGCAAAAGAAAATCCACCACAATGGACCGGCGGAAGGCAGCCACCATGAGGGAGAGGAGGAGGCTGAAGAAAGTGAACCAGGCTTTTGAGACCCTGAAGAGATGCACCACTGCCAACCCCAACCAAAGACTCCCCAAAGTAGAGATCCTGAGAAACGCCATCAGATACATCGAGAGCCTACAGGAGCTCTTGCGGGAACAGGTAGAAAACTACTATCACCTGCCGGGACAGAGTTGCTCCGAACCGACCAGCCCCACTTCCAGCTGCTCCGATGGGATGGTAAGATAGAGGCAGGAGCCACAGGGCTGTGGGGACCCCAGGACAGTCCGCGGGCAGGTCACCCTCGGCCCAACGCCGTGGGACCAGTGCCATGGGTGTGGGACGGGCCGAATGCATCCCGACATCAGGAAAAGGCGGGCGGCTCGCTCTAGAACAGGCCCCTTCCCAGGTTTTCCGCTGAGCACACACACGTGGGCTCTCCGGGGGTGCATGGGGGCGGTAGCGCTGTCCGAGGGCACCCTGCAGGCCCCCGGCGTCCCCTCTGCTGTGCCCTCAGCGCGGCCCTAGAGGGGTAAGGCTGGGGGAGAGGGGAAGGCGCTGCCCAGGGCCAGCAGCCTGGCTGGGGCGGCTGCTTCGCTCCCTCCCCGCCGGCCTTTATGGCCCTTTCCCTTCTCGGGGAGCGTCCCGCTGGCCCTTGGGCGGGGGCGGCAGGGCCGGCACTCGCCCCTCGCTGTCTTGCAGGCCGACTGTGGCAGCCCCGTTTGGTCGGCGAGAGGCAGCAGCTTCGACGCCGTCTACTGCGCCGAGATGGCCCACGGTAAGCGCGACTCGAGCGGGCGCGGCCTGCGGGTAGGGGCGGGCCCGGGCACCCTCGCTCCGCGGGGCACTGGGGAAGGCAGCGCGGCGCCCGCGGTAACGCGCTGCCCTGTCCCCGTCCCTCCCCTCGGCGCAGGGTACGCCGCCGATCAGAGCAGCGCCCTGTCCAGCCTGGACTGCCTCTCCAGCATCGTGGACCGTCTCTCCCCGGCCGAGGAACTAGGGGTGTCCCTGCGCGACGCCGACTCCCTCTCGCCCAGCGCCAGCATCGACTCGGGCCCGGAGACGCCCGGGACGCCGCTGCCCCGACGGACCTACCAGGCGCTATGAGGGGCCGGAGGGCCGGCACCCCGCGCCTGCCGCCGGGGCCGCCTCCCGCGCCCGGCCGCCTCCTGCAAACGCTTCTCGGGCGAGAGGGGCAGCCCCGGAGCCCCTCGGGCCGCCGCTTCCCTCTGGGGCCGCAGGCAAAGCGCCGCGCCGGCCCCCGGCCAGGGATTTCCCGCAGCCCGGCAGGGCGGGCAGACCCCGGGGCTCGGGACACACGCGCTGCTCTGGAATCCCCGCTGCAAATAAAACGTGCTGTGAGAGAGCTGTCTGGCCGGCTGGTTCTTTAAGTGCATTCCCTGGCATGGGGGAGGGCAGCGAGACTCGGCTGCGGGGCGCCCGCCGGCATCCCTGGTGAGCCCCCACCAACCTCGGTGGGCCCTGGGCTCCGGCCCGCGGGGCACCTCCTGCCCGCCCCCATCGCGGCAGGCCCCGGCCGCCATGTGGAGTGTCTTGCCGGGCTGGGGCCTGCGAGCTTGTCTCTCCTTCCACCAGTGCGTGGAAGTTGCCCCACTCGTGGAGCAACAAAAACGTGGACCTTTAAATTCTCACATTGTATGTCCTGTTATGGGCAGAGTTTTCTTTATTTCCAAAAATTTTCTATCCTTTCCTCCCTGCCTTCCCTTCCCGTCCACCCCTGCAAAGCTCAAGTTTCTTTCACTGGGTATGAAGATGAACTGTGTATTCCAGAATTTGACCCTGAAATTGCGTGGTGACTCTGCTCTTAAAACAACTGTGTGATCTAGCTCTGATGCTGTGCTGGGGAATTTTACTTGTTGCTCTGGCAGAGACAAATTTAGAAAAGTTAGTAAGAACAAACCACATGTATCTCTTTCATAAGCCACGAGGTATGTTTCACAATATTCAGAAAGCAATATAGATTTATTTGCTCCTAATTACTTTGGTCTTTTGGTCCAGGATGCAAGTTCATTACTCTACATCGCTCTAGAAATAACCAGGTCAAATCTTCACGTGTTTTCAGATTTAACAAGTATTTCCTTCCAGGCACTAAATTAGGTCTGTGTACCATGAAAAATTTTCATTTTTTTGCACTCTTTCTAGATATAATCTTTCTAGATATAAACTTTCTTAGCCAACCTTCCCCACCCTCCCCTCCAAAAAAATAAAAGAAAAAAAAAGAGATGGGGAGATAGGTTCTTTCAGTTCATCCAGAAGTGTTTCATATGATGAGTACGCTGAGTGGGAAGGGGTATATACACCTCACCATTGTGGGATAAGGATGTATTTGCCGTTTGTGTTTGTGTTGCTAGCACTCGGCAGCCAAGGAGCCTGGCAGTGCTATTTCACCTCTGATAAATCTTTCACTTGAACCCAGCCCAGCTGAGTCATGTCACCAAAAGTTATCATCTGACTGGCCTTTGGCAGCATCTCTGAACCAAAGATAAAAGAAGCCTTTGCTTAGGGATAGCTCTGTCTCTGTAGCCCACTGAGGGTCTCTGTCCCCCCACAAGGGACCACAGAGAAGGTGAGGTGGCACCTGCCTTCCTGAGCCTGCAGCAGGGCAGTAGCAGGACACAGGGCAAGGCCAGCCTGCCCTTTGTGCAAAGCCTCCCTCAAAATTACTTTCTGCCCATAGCCTTGAGGTAAGTGCTCTTGTGGAATATTTCAGGAGGGGCCTTGACCAGAATGGGCTTTCTGTGTATACAGATATGTCTGAACTAATCATGGAGCAGAAGTGGTTTTAAACCCCTGAGTTGCAGTCATGCATAGGCACAAACAAGGTATTCTCACACTCCTGTCATTGCAGATGCTCCAGCAGTATGCAAGTGCCTTAGCACAGACATAGTCTTGGTTCTGGGGGATCACTTCCCAAGCCTTCTGTTCACAGGAATCCTTATGCAAGACCGTGAACATCACTGGTTTTATTTCCTGGCTTCTCACACTCTGCTGCAGCGTTGCAGTGTTTGCTCCTCTCAATCAAAATACCATCCCAAGGATACTTCTTATGCTCAGGATTTAATAGAGTGCAGATGATTTTTAATGGTATTTTAAAGTGAGCTAAGCTAGAGAACTTTCAGCATTTCATTCTGCACAGTGCTGACCTTGGCAAGTGATCTCAGATGAAGTATGCAGAGTAACACTAGCAAATCACATGCTGGTAATGTACACCTCTCTTTGGCTGGCAGACATTTTAGGAGTCGCAAAAAGGTCAATACTTCTGAGAAGTAGCTTTTCAGAGTGTGAGGAGAAGCATTCTGTCTGTAGATGTTTGTCTGTAGGCTCCTATGTCCTACTGCAGTAGTTTACAGCCTCTAGGTTTTGCTGTATACGTTTGGGAAACAAAATCTTAATTCCAGGACACATATGAAAAAAGCTCCCATGAGGCGAAAAGTGCAGTAGGAATGGAAGGAATGGGAGTGGATGTTGTAAGGAATGCAAGTGAGCGCCATGAAACTGCCTTTAGTCTGTGGATTGGGAAGAACAACAAGGCTGTTGGGAGGTACACTGTTCTGGTCAGATTTTACATATTTCATAGTAATACTAATAAGTGCAACTGAAAAGAAAGATTTGTATTCTATTTGAAACATGTTAATTTAAGGAAGGCTGTGCCCAGAAATAAATAAGAAGGTGATGGTCCAGACAATTTGAGCTCCACCTATCCCAACTCCTACTATGTGTAGATTGCTTAAGGCTCTGGGACAGTGTGTAGTGGCCTCACAGGAAGGCAAGCAGGTGCAGGGATGCTTCATAGTGTCAGAATAATGAATATAGCACAGAAGGTGTGTTACAGCAAGTTTTCTGACTACCACTCGCTGCAAGAAAGGGCATAATTCTGTACACTTTTTAGAATACAATAATGTTGTATTTTACCTCTGAAAACCATGCTTATTTGGCTTAAATTCTGACCGGGGGAGGCAGTTGAGCTTTGGTTTGGTTTTTTTTTATGGGTTTTTTTTTGTTGTTGTTGTTTGTTTTTTTTTTGTGTGTGTGTGTGTGCAAAGTCTCTTGTATCTTTTGTTAATAAACCAAACAGAGATCTTTAGCGAAATACATATTTTAAATTCAGATCAAAAAGGACATTTGTACATTGCAAAACTAACATAGAAACCTGGAAAAGATCTCTTAAATATAACATCAAGACAAAAATCTTGCTTTCTTAATGTTCAAATTTCTTGAGTTTCCTGTGTGCAAAACCACTCCTTTTGCCTGTAGGAAAAGACCAAGCTCTTTCTTTCCTGTGGTAAGGCTTAAAAGGGATACATTTTAGTATCACTTTAGTATTACATTTAGTAATTAGTTCTTGGAGGATGAAGGGATCTTTATTTATAGTGCTTGTCTAAATATGCCTAGGAGCACCTCAAATTCACAGCTACAATTCAGTGGAGATTCAGCATCTCTTCTTCCCTGTTCGCCCAGCTTATCAGGAGTCAGACTTCACCACAGCAGGCAGCTCACCTCTGCCCACCCTAAAACTTCTCCCTCACTCCTTTCTTCCTTCTTTTCCTCCTTCTTCTCCACCTTCTCTTCTGCAGAACCCTTGAGTCGCTCATCACTTCTCCCTGCTCCTCTCAGCTGGACCTTGGCATGCTGGAGGACTCACAGCTGGCCAGCTGACTTCTGACCTTTGGCAGCTTCTGCATGGGGTATCAGCCTTACAGCTGGCCACAACTGCCCTCCTGGCAACTAAAGGCCTAATGAGCTTGGCCAGCTGGAGAATGGGCTGGAATCCTGCTGGCTGATTTGACCCTGCGTGAGGGATTGAGGGGTTCACCCCCAAATGTGGAGGGAGTGAGCAGTGCATTTGTCTATGTGCTGCTTGCCCCAGGGCATTAGAGCCAGGCTTCTCCTACAGCCAATTGGATTACTGGGATGACTGAAAAAAGAGACAAAAAAAGAGACAGCAGAGCTGCTTTTTCTCATGCTTTTTTTTTTTTTTTTTTTTTGAGTTTGCTGTTGAGTATTAGGCTTCATTAGTGGCTATCACCCTCACTGCATCTCATGGTGTCCACTCCACAGAGTCCAAGAGATACCCCATCCACCATACCAGGGCTGGGCTGAGGGAGTTATTCCCCTTCCCAAATACAGTGGGATATATTGTCTCTTTATCTAGCATGTGCCCCACTTTCTTATCTCCAGGAGGTTATGCATCTTGGACAGTTGCAGATATCATGCAAAACATTGTACTGTTGTACTGCTACTTTCTCAAAAGTCTCCTGCTTTCCACTCCCCTGACCAGCTGAAAGGCATCATTGATCCATCGAGTCTGTTTGCTGCTTGAGCGTTAGTAACCTTTATGAGCTGCCTGGCAATCTGCTAAAAAATGTTGCTGGCTATGATGCCAAAGGCATTGCTCATCTGTGCTTGAAAAAGGTGATACCATAATATATGAGGGTCAGCAGGCCCAGAGAGAGATCAGAAAGGTGTTTCAGTATCTGCATTAAATCAGGTGAATTTGGGTCTGACACTCTGAGAGGCCTTCAGACCTGGAGTAGCAGCAGAGAAAAAAATGTGCATTTTTTCTCATTATTTCTCTAATCTTCGGTGAATAAGTGCTTTTGAACTGATACTATTTTCTGTTTTAAAAAAATTTGAACAAGTAACTTTAAAACCCCTTAACAGCTGGCTGGAGTAGAGTCAGTCAGTCATCTGGAGGTGGCTGCCTCTGCTCTGGTCCTCACTGTCGTGGTTCTGTCTCCTTTGGATAGTATCAAGCTGATATTGGGAGCAGACACCACGCTCTTCTCCTCTGGGTCTGTGCCTACCAAGAACTGTCATTCTGAGCCTAGGACTCCTACATTTCATTAATATTGTGTCTTGATCAGCTGGGAGTCCTTCTGGCCTTTTTTTCTCAGGTTGTATATAATGCTGTGAATTCCCAAATAGTTTGGGAATAATTTGGGTGTAAAACTTCTTCAAATGGATGAGCACCATCCTCTTGGATGCCTGCAGTAGTGAAGACTTATACAGTACCTAAATAGTAAGATTTGAGCTCATAATCCCTGCGTGATTAAATGGGGATTTTTCTGGGCCTCATCCTGAGTTTAAGCATTCACCCTCCTCTTCCTTGCAAACTCTGTGCAACTGTTTACCTGGTCACAGGTAGTGTGTGACCTCCAGTGAGGAGTTTGTTCCTGTTGTGCAACTGGCCGAGGAAGACACATCCCATGAAGGTGCTGCATGCAGAGGGAAAACAGACACCCCACTAATCTGAAGTTGTTTGTTGGAAATATGGGTGAATTAACACCCAGTTTGGGTGAAAGTGCCTGTCTCGTATTGGGAATTCCCTTTGGAAGACACACCTGGTGACA